ACGACGATGCGTACTAGACAGCGTATTGCACGGGTCTTTAGCACCCTGCAAATACATAATTAGAGAACACAATGTCACCGTCAGAATGTGAAATTTATTTGGCAGCTTTCAAATGGTAACGATTGTGGCAATTGGGAACGTCTTGTAGGAGTTGGCGTCGCTTCTCCACTTCGTCGCAGTTGCAATCACTGATCCTCGCTCTATCCATGCGCAGAAAATTCACTAGTCCCAATGTGATAGCAATAGCTACATATACGCCGAAGTTGCCCATGGCCTGAAGTTGCTTGACCACATCGTTGGAATAGGAATGCAGGTAACCAAGGCAATCTCGACCCTCTTGATATCTTTAAGCGACCTTCTCCGTTCCTTTCAACCAAATGAATCCCCAGCGACGACGCTTGGGATTCGTGTTTCGCAGCGCAATGGGCTTCAGACAGCCAGCGATATCTACAGCCTCTCAACCCTTCCAATTGCACTGCATCCCCAGCAAGCTCCGACACAGAGAGGAGAGTCGAACCAAGACTAGCGCAGAATGAATCCATCGCCACCAAGGCCATGTGCGCTTGCTCCGCCAAAAGATTTGGTGCGAACGTTGTGCCGTCTTGTCGCACGCACGGTCAACAACGACACAACCACGATCGTTGTACACCTTGGCGGCCAGGGGTTTAGGGGTTTTCGCCGTGCAGCCAAACCCCTGAAATATGCACACATTGCTACACAGGTATACTTTAATGAAGATAATATATATTGAATCTTAATATACTTGAATACATATTTTCAAAACTACTTTTTAAAAGTTTGACAAAAATGATTTCATAGGATATTCTATTTGTTGAATTGGGGAAAATGTGCAACAACGTTGAAAAATGATATAAATACTGAAAACTGCAGCACGCCATTGGCCGAGGTGATATCATGAAAGCAAAAATATAACCTTGAATTTTGTATTGAATCGTTTACGGGTTCCAAATCATTCCGGTTGTATTGTCGTTGCTTCGTGTGGTCTAATTGTGATTTGACTGCCCCAAGACGGCATCAACGCATCACTTCAGATCTCTCTCGCTCCATCGGATGAAGTTCGCCCTGATCGTTGCCTTCGTGGCCGCCACCGTCCATGCTGCCGCCCCCAAGTCGTTCCAGTGCTTTGAAGGAAAGGACTTTTTCGGGCACGGAGATGTCAGCAACGTTCCTGGCGGTACTCCCGAAATCTGCCAGAAGGCTTGCTCTGAAGTCCCGGCATGCAACGCTGTTGCGGTTGCCCTCTTTGACGGCAACTGCTACCTCAAGACACTAACCCAGGATAGTCAATCCCGCTTGGTTGACAAGACTGACGTCATCACATGCGTTGATGTTACCTTGACTGGCGGCGCCAACGCTGGTGGGGCAGGGGGTGCCGCCGCCAAGGAAAAGTTCACCGCCTCCGACGACGACGATGACGACGATGACGACGATGACGATGATGACGATGATGACGATGATGACGATGATGACGATGATGACGATGATGACGACGATGACGATGATGACGATGATGACGATGATGACGCATTGTTCGATGAAGATCAATTCGATGGCGATGTCCCCGACAGCTTGGCCGACTCACTGAGTGCCGACGAAGACGGCGCGCTGTACTACGAAAGCGACGTCGACGACGATGGTCCGTATGAATCGGACGTCGTGAGTCACGATGCCAAGTCAGACGATGACGATGACGATGACGACGATGATGACGATGATGACGACGATGACGACGACGATGACGACGATGACGATGATGACGACGATGACGATGACGACGACGATGACGATGATGATGACTACGTTGAATAGGTCTGCAGCCGTACAGTAGTCAGTTTTGCGTAATTTATCCTCGGCCAAGCGTATACTTGCGAGTTGAGTTCCTGGGGACACTTCGACTGACAATGTAGATGGCCTTTGGGAGTGCGGTTAGTGGTATGAGCAGGGTTGCCAGCCTTCGAGATACGTCCACCTTCTTCCTTTAGAATGGTGTCGCCATGGGAAGCACTTGCAAATCTGGCGACCTCGCCCTTTGTGGTCGACACGACGGTGCTGCATTTTGTCATGGAATCCAATGACCACGAGCAAGGAAAATTGGGCTGGCTACCACTCACACCAAAGCAGGCTTACAGTAACCCCCCTCTGCGCGAAAGTAACAGCATCGCGTCGCTCGAGCGCTGGACGGGACCCCAGTCAGTCGATTGGAATCATGAACATGCACGTGGGTGGACGAGGCCCCTATTTGTTGCCAATCCTATGGAAGATGCTGCGGCAACTTCGCTTGACGGAAAAAGTAGTCATCAAAGACGATGGAAGTTGAAGAATTCGGGCATTAATGAAATCGACCTCTCCTGATGTGTTTCTCCTTGGAGCTTTGCCGACCTGACAGAACGCATGTGACGACGTCCTTCTTATGGACAACCTTGGTAAGAACGTCGTCTTGAGCAACAACCTTCAAGTAGCACCGATTTTTGGTGAACGCAAGCGCGTTGCACATGTCGTCCGACGTGCATGCGGCTTTGCACTCGTCGATGGTGTCAATTGCGCTGTTGGAGAGGTCGCCATGATGGAGGAAGTCCTTACCCTTGATGCAGTCGTAGGAGGTTGATGCTCCGGTGGTTTCTTGGATGAAAATGAGGAAGAGCAGAGCCAGCGCAAGCTTCATCGTCGTCTCGCCGGGAAGAGGAGAAATCCAAAAGTGAGCGATTCAATTTATCTCGGAATTCTAATCACGTCGATGGATATTAATACAATCATCGAGGTTTTATTGAATATTTAAATTAATGTCGTGGTAGATTGCAGTGCCGGATATGCAACGGACGGCATGACGATCGTCGTCTGGGTTGAAGGCGACGACCGAGAGATGCGAGCGCTGCTACGTCGCTGCGATGTCGCGCTCACTCAGTCATACACACGAGAGCTCTCCTCTCCACGGTGCGCCCTAACTTGGGCCTTGTTGAACACCCCGAGACCCTCAACAGTGCTTCTGGAAGTCCGGATAATCCGGATACCAGACCTGGTCATTTCCGATTTCCAAATGTGGCGACAACGAGTGTTCGTCCGCAAGGCCACGATGGCGGCCGCGACAGCCGCATGGAGTGCTTCGACGGTGATATGCCAAGGTGACGACAAGGTAGTATATGTGGAAGAGGCGTGATCTGAAGCGCGTCACCAGATGACACCACCTGAGCTCACTGCGTACCTGAAACGCAACCTCGCGGCGTTCCGCCAAGATTTTACCAAGTCTCATCCGAACATCACGACTCAGCCCATTCAGGTGTCCCACCAGAACAACGTTGTTCGTTTGTCGTTCATGTCGCCATCCACATCGTCCACATCGCCCGTCCATCGTTTTCTCCGCGACATTGGTATCTCCGTTGAAGTCGTTCCTTCCACGTATGAACGCACTCCCCCATGACTCGATGTTGTTCATGTTTCGCATCAATACCAGGACCGACGATACTCTCAACTACATCTTTACGGATGCTTCAGGATCGTTTCAATGGCTCCCGGCGAAATCTAAGGATAACTTGTTCGTGTTGTTCAAGGACCTTCCCATCTCCCGCACGGAAGTCGATGCTGTCTTGGCGGCGTACAAGCACGCGTTCTTGTCGCTTCCATCGTCTTCGTCTAAGAAAACTTCTCCCGATGCTGCAATTTCTGCTCTCCAGCAGCTTGGTCTCGACGTATACGATGCGACCACAACAGAGGATCTGACATGGGATGCTCTGGTGCGCACTTTCATTCCAATCACGACAAGATTTACGGCAATCCTTGCAGGCTGGTTACGACGAAGTAAAGCAAGAAATCGATGACACGGTCATCTTGGCGCTACAAAATCCCAGTTTTTACGAAAACATTGCCAACCACACGCGAGAAAGGTCGGTGTGGCCGTGCGCGTCGATCTATGCTGATTTCCTTTACCACATCAATCTTATACGTCCAGATTCGAGACAAACCGACCTCGGGCAATTCTGTTTGAAGGGCCGCCAGGCACTGGCAAGACGCTGTCTGCGCGGATCATTGCTTCGGTACCCATCTCCACATAGCATGTCGACGTGGTTGCGAATGCTGGGCTACGTAGCAAGCAAAGGTGCCGTTGATTCACCTTCCTGTCGAAAGCATTGTGTCCAAGTGGTATGGCGAAAGCGAACAAAAGCTGGCCAAGATCTTTGACGCGTGCGACCAGCTCGAAAACGGCGCCATCTTGTTTATCGATGAGGTGCGTCACTCCTCCATGCCCATTTCAGAGAATTCATCACGACAAAATAGATTGATGCACTGGCATCCGACCGATCGACGGGGAACATGCATGAAGCGACCCGTCGGCTCTTGTCGGTCCTGCTTCAAAAGGTTGAAGGGTTCTCGTCGTCGCAGAAAGGTATGGTATTCTTCGGATGGTGCTGAAAGCATACCGTGTGTGTTGTGTGCCGTAGTGACACTGATTGCCGCGACGAACCGCAAGCAAGACCTCGACAGTGCATTGCTGAGCCGATTCAACTTGACGATTCGCTACGACTTGCCTGACCTGGCTACACGACAAGCAGTCTTTCGTCGGTAAAGAGGTCGGTCGTTGATGCGCCTGACAAATATGCTAGGTATGCCAAACAACTGAGCAACAATGACTTGCATCAACTCGCGGCCACGACTGCAACGTGGTCGTGCCGGGACATCAAAGAGGTATGTCGGTCGCGTGCTTGGAGGCAATGGGGAGAATGCGAACCGTATGAACGTAGCTGTGTGAATACACTGAACGCAAGTGGGCATCGCAAGTCTTACGCAGAGAGCAAAAGAGCCCCGTGCCAACTCTAGAAGCCTACGTCTCGGCCATTGATCACCAAGCATCCAAGCGAAGCAGCAACAGCGTGCATATATAACTCAAGCCACAGCTTAGGACCCAAGGAAGGCCCGCGTGTAAACCACCATAGCGTTCGAACTGCAGTGATCAGGTTCGTTTCCTCAACCTGAGTAATGTCGCATGGGGTTGTCTGCTCCAATATTAGCCAATACAAATCGAAAATGCTTAATTTATGCTGAAGAAAGCCGAACCATTGGACAAGAGCATTGCATATGCATATAATTGGATAAAATTGTACAACTGGGGATTCCTTCGAAGGAGGGCATGACTGGATCGGTCAAGAAGGCGCCTGCGGCATCGAAGCGCTTTCTTTCCCAATTCGGAAAGAGCGCACTGGGCATCATACTCGCGCTCGAGAACCAGTGTCATGACGGTCTGAAAAAAGGAGCGTGAAAACAAGTGTTCGAAAGCTTGATGTGGAAAAATTTCGGATACGGGATAGTCAACCGGAGAGTTGAGCCTAACCGGATAAATCAAGTGGAATTATCCGGAATTGTTTGAATTTCCCACGCAGACTCGGTGACCAAGATGGAAGCCGTGGTGAAATCTCTGAGGAAGCTCGAGGGAGATGACTCGTCCAAGCCGCACACGTTGCAAGCCCTGGAGTTGTTCGTTTCCATGCATCCGTCACCAAAGACTCTTACGGTCCATGCACACTTCCTGGAGCGGCTGGTTCCGTCTAAAGACCATCGACAACGTATCCCGACGCCAGTCCCCATCTCCAAGTCTCCGAGCTTGTGCCTTCAAGGATTCCAGCTCGCCCTGAAAAACGAAGACCTTCCGTCACTTCTGCTTGCAAGTCTTCTTGTTCTCAACCTCAACCGCGACGTGGTGACCTTCAAGCAGCCATTTACATGGGAAACGATGCATTTGCAACTTGCCAAGAAGTTGCTGGACGCAATCCCTCAAACAAACGACACGAACAACTCCCTCGGGCGGTCGCTTGTGTGGCATCACATGTGTGAATGCCTCGCGAGCCTAAAGTTCATTCCTAGCGGCCACGACACCACGATTGAGTGGGGTAACGTATCGAAGCGCCTAAATGACCAAAGTCCGCTGACGCCGTTCCTCGAAAAAGTGGTGCTGGTGTGTCTTCAAGTTCAGCTCAATATGCAGGAGCATACTCATCTCCTCCCTCTATCACTTCCGCGAGCATCTATGACAAAGATCACTTGGGACTCGTGCTACCGCATCATTTGGAAGCATGCCAGCTCAATCACATCACCGTCCATCGTCTACCACCTGCGGAAGGAAGGGCTGCGATGTCTTGTGCACGCGAATTCGACCTGGTGGGTTTTCGTCCAGCAGGTACACAACATCTCGAAATTCGTAGACTACGAGCCTGACTTGGATTAAAACGAGATGTACAAAGCCGCTATGCTGTACGAAAAATATTCGCAAGCCAAGCAAGACGCGTTGTACTGCGATTTTGCTCAGAGCCTGAAGCAATTGCATCAAGTGTCGCCGGCGGTACTGCTCATGACGAATCTTGGGCATCCCCCGACGCTTTTCGTAGGCGCCATTAGAGCACTGGTTGTCCGTTTTCTTGTGGCTCGAGCACTGGGTCAACAATTGCATCAACCGCTCCCTTCTCCACCAAACTCTTGACCTTCTGCGCGCTGAGTGTCCACATCCTTCGCTTTTGGACATGCTGGGCTCCCAACTGACGGAGAAGTGGCCCTCCACGCTCGTTTTGCCGCTCAAGTTGCCCTCCACGTTAATTCCTCTGGCTTTTCGAAATGCCAAAAAGGTGATTGACATTTGTCCGACTCTTCCCGCATTGTAAGTTGTTGTTCCTTTGAATCGATCTTCGACTCTCTCGTATCCCTCGCCAGATACAACCAATTGTTCGAGTGGTCGCGAGATCTCAATCAGCCGCCAGCCCAGCAACTGCTCTACCTCCGCTTGCTCATTCGAGCATGCCAAGACTTTCCAGCTGACGCCCTGACCCACCTCCATCGCGGTGTTTCCTACGTGAGGGACCCTGCGTTTGCCGAAATCGCTGAACGCGACTGGCATCTTATTGCGATGAAGTGGTTCAAAATGGGGTTGTACAAGGCGGTTGTGGACTGGTGCTCCGTGCTATCCCCACATTTCCCCAAGTGCTACTTGCTCTTGGGTCTCGCCCATCAGAAACTGCTCGAGTGGGCCATGGCGGTCCATGCGTGGGAAATTGGGGTGTCTCACGGTCATGTCGCCCTGGATAAGTTCACCCAACTCCTATTCAATGTCACGCCATCGATCGGATGCAGATCTCTCCAATCCTCCGCCATGGAGCCGCATCACGCTGACATAGCGCCTTTAATTGCCCACCAAGTCGAGTCGGTGTGGCTGGTGCAATGCCGAAAACAACAATGCTCCGACAGCGCCGTGTCGACGTTAAAGTATGGCCTTGCATTGTGGGAAATCGTCGATCGATCTAGTTTTCGACGACGCAAAGCCGTGGCGCTGGCAGAGTATTTCACCGAGAGGAACCCCCAAGCGCTCATGGACACGTACCACACGCTGATCCAAGGATGCCCCTGCTCCCGCGACAAGTGGGTCCTTCTAGTTGAGCAGCATCTCGTCGCCAGATACGCGTGCCTCCCCCTCCAATACTTCGACGCCGTAGAGGCTTTGTATTTGATATGGAAGGACTACGACCAACCAGACGTGGTGTTGCAAGCGGGGGCAACCCTCCTGGGCGTGACAGACCTCTACGTGAGTTCGTCATCGCGCTCGACGTTTTAATGTCCTCTTTATGCCAGGAAATTCCCAAGTCCGACCAAGTCGAAGCGGCGCATGACGCGCTCAACAGCGGCGACTACGTTCTCGCTGAATCGAGATGGAAGCAATTGTGCAAGGAGTCGTACCAACATGCATATGCGTTGGGACTGCAGGAATGCCTTGTCGAGCCCGACGACCCGTCCAAGATGTACTTGCAACTCGTCCACCTCGACGAATTCCACGCGTTCGCGACCGTTTTGTACAACTTGCAGCACCTCGCTAAGGTGTACATGGCCACGTCCCGGAACAAGTACTCTCCCCCTTGAACCCGACCTCGGATCCAAGCAGCATGGTTTCGTAGAGCGCTCCTGTACCTGCAATACCTCCAAAATCTGACGAAAAAGCTAGACATGTTGCCCGCGTCGCGGCAAATATCGTGTCTTTCGATCGAGTTTGCGTTGAACCAAGGCCTTTTGGGCGAAGCAGACGCCGAGTTGAGCCAATTGCGCGCCAATCCCGTCAACGAATCGTACCACTTGAAGCAGAGTTGCTTCGAGGATATCCTGCATGGCGACGTGCACACACTGGCAAGGACAGTGTCGCTCGCTACTCACGCGTACAAGAAAGCCAAGACCAAGAGCGTTCCGATGTACCCCAAGTTCCAGGATATCCTCGCCCTCGTGTATCGGAAATTGGCGCTCAACATGCCCGATCCAGTCCTGGCGTCACAAAAAGCTACCAAACTAAGTCTCACACGGGTCGATTCGAGACTCGCCATGCAGACATTGAGTCACGCACTGCGACGAAGGCGCACGCGAGAAGCGCTCTCCCAGAGCATGCACTCCCTCCAAGAAGCGTACGGGCTGTTCGCCGAAACCAAACGCAGCATTCATCACCATCCGTTCTGCATCGAGTACGTTTTGACTTGTTTGGAGAGCTTGAAGTACATCGAAGACCCTGCCATGCACGTCCAAATTCAGTGGCGGATGAGCTGGCTTTTGTCTGGCATGCCGTCGTCGGCATCGGGCATCGTGCATGACACGACGTCGTTTCAAAAGCGCTGGACCTCGTCTGCGGTCCCGTCAGATTGGAATGTTCTCGTGCTGAAGAAATGCAACGACTCCGATTTGATCGTGCATCGTATTCAGGTGAGCCCTCTCGCACTGCGTATGCCCATGCAGGTCGCGCAGGATGATGCGATGGTGGGTAGAACAATGGGGCGAGCCCTGTCACGGTGGTCCTGCCTGGCTTCGCCATCGACAAGTTCATGAAAGCAACCGCCCTCGTGATAGAACGCTCCAAGTGAGTCGATTGCTCGATCGTTGTCCCGATGGATTCACTTTGATGATAGAGACACGCTGTCTGGGCATACGGCCGAGGAAGCTGCAACGTGGACGTCGAGCCAAAAGAAGCAGTGGTGGAAGCAGCGCGTGCATCTGGACGGTCAGCTCAAGCTCTTGGTGGACAAAGCTTTGGTAAATGCAGTTGTGTTTCCCACTCGCTGTGGCAATATGAGTGACACTAAGTTTGGACAGGCTCACCTGTCCTTTTATCGATGCCTCCTCATTCCTCGCCCGAATCCTTTACCAATTGACGTGGAAACCTCCATCGCTGCCATCTTCAAGCGGCACCCGGCATTGTCTCCGATGCACCAAGAGATTATCTCGTCGCTTATGTACACATACGCCACCCATTTAGTCCACGAAGATTTGGTACAACATTTGCGACACCTCCCTCTGTCCTCGTTGACCTTCGTTGGGCGAATTAGGTCAAGGAAGGGCTCAAATTCTGCGGCGTGCCGTGGACGTCTCAGAGTCTCCCTCGTCAGTCTGCCACGATGGCGGTCCCTCCCGGCTTGACGCTACTGTCCACGAATTTGCATGGGTTTCCGTGGGAAGGGCTGTTTCCGCCAGGGTTTCCGGTGTCGCGGCTGCATTCGATGGCCCCGCTGTTCGATGGCGTCTCATGGTCGGTCTCGAGACAATCTGTGCACTACATAGTCAATCCTGGCGGAGATCTGCTGAACACGGCAACGTTTTTGCACCCGATCCTCACACGAGGTCGGACCGAGTGGCAGTGGAGCACGTGCGACGATCCGTCCGATGCAGCGTCGATATTTGCAAAGGATGTGTTCCTGTACTGCGGCCATGGTTCGGGCGAGCGATACATTGGGAGGCAGGTTGTGGAGCACCTGACGAAATGCCCCGTCGCCCTTCTCATGGGGTGCAGCAGTGCGAGGCTCACTCCGTTTGGCTTGTACGAGCCGGAGGGTATGCTGGCCAGCTATCTAGAAGCCAAGAGTCCGGCGGTCGTCGGGATGTTATGGGACGTAACCGACCGAGACTTGGACCGCCTCAGTCTTGCTTTGCTCGAGACCTGGTTCAACACGGACGCGTCGCTATGCCAGGCGCTGGCGAATGCCCGGGACGAGTGCAAGCTGCCCTGCTTGAATGGACTCGCGGCAGTTTGCTACGGACTGCCTGTCGTGGTCAAGCCAGGACTGTAAAGTTATAGAGAGTCGTATCGAAGATTGTGTTGAGTGGCCGAAACCAGCGCAGGGGTGAGTTGGATTTGCATGAAGCAAAGCAATGCACACAACGGAAGACGTCGTTCGTGGCAGAAGGGATTCGAAGCAGCATCAACCATTGTTGATGGGAATGTCAACGATCGTGCGCATCCATTTTCCTCGCGACGACCACTTGATGTATCGTCCTCGTCATGCCGATGGGGTGCCTGCCCACGGCGATATGGCCTTTTCCCCAAGTCTGAAATACGTAGCCCATCACACGAGCTGCTGGAGAACGTCGTCATGTTTGCCTCGGGCTACCGACATCAGGAGCGAATTCGATCGTTTGCCGACGCGATTGTCGCCGACACTCTAGCTACCGCCGAAGGGTGCAATGTCACAAGGCCCGTGCTCGACTGACCGAGACCGTGGTGCCACGTTCGAGTGATGGCCAAACTCATGTTCGACCTCGGCAACTTTGGCAGCCCCACCACCGAGAATTCTACGCCACACACGGGATAAACATTTTGTTTCTGTATCCCTGGCACCGGCAACATGTCCATGAACGAGGCCGAACCCTCGACTTCTCCCAAGCAAGACGGACGAGATACACCGAACGGGGACAGAGGAAGGGCAAGTGAAGTCGAAGGCATTGGCACGAGGTTTGACAAACACCTGATGAACCAGGAAGACCAGTCACCCTTGGTGTGCTTGGGGCTGTTGAATGCGCTCGACGGCGTCAGGGGCAGCAACGGAACTGCCGTGACGACCAACTGTCGGGACCAACTCGAGGACGCCCTCCTGCGCAGCGGTCGCCTCGACGTCCACCTTATTGTCGACTGTGCCCACAATCGAAAGCAAAGAGAGGGCCAAGGTGCGATCGTACACCCTCGTCGCAACCGCCCCAGCGTACGAACGGGCGGCAGCTCTGGATGACCGTCCAGTGTCGATCGCATCTGACTCGGTGCATCGCGACGACAGGTGTGGCGAATTAATGGATGTGACGCACGATATCGACGAAGCCCATGACATCGTTGCCGACGGACCTAAAGACAAAGCTGACAACAAGGCGGGATATTGCTACGGAAGTAGAAAAAGTTGTGATACAAGAGGCGGCCGGCACATTGGAAAAGCTCGTGTGAGCTTCGATTGCTTGAGACACTATCGCATTCCCTTTGGCATCCCACTGAGATTCTTTCAGAGTTGGAAGGGCAAGGCTGCGATTTTGAGAGCTGTATGTGTAAACTCAATGGCTGGGCCTTCTCAAAGCCACGCTTGTCAAGAGGCGCAAGCATGGACTCTACCGAAAGAACGATTCGTCGGTTAGTCAAGCGGATCGAATTATGTTAGAGGAGCATGGGCTGCGAACAAAGTCATTCAGGTCACGTTTGAATGCTTCCAGCTTGTTGTAGAAGGCACGTAAGGACTGTTAGCATTGGACAAAGGGGGCAGTTGATACTTCATAACAATAACAAGCTAGGCTGGTTCGACATTTACTCGCCATGGAAGTCCTCTTCGATAACATCGTCGTCATC